CTGGTACAAAAGACACAAAGTTTACAGTAAAAAAAAAATGATATACCATACAAACACTAACCAAAAGAAAGCTGATATAGCTCTTCAAATACCAGACAAGGCAGATATTAAGGTGAATTACTAAAAGTAGAGACATTCTCTGATGATCAAAGGTCAACCTACCAAGAAAATATGGCAATTCTAAACTGTATGTGCCTATTAACATCACCTCAGACCCATAAAGCAAAAACTGACAAAACCAAAAGAAGTAACAGGTAACTCCATAGTTACAGGGTGAGACATACTTGAAACACATCTCTCTTTGAACATGGTTAAGAAATTTAACCCGCTTCACATGAAAGAGCACCTGAGCACCAAACTAGATCAACAGATAGCTGAGTACATCATGTCTTATCCATACTGTCTCCAATAATTTAATTCGGTTTTACTGAACACTGTATTACATATTTTTGTGATGCCATTAGTCTACACTGAGGGTCACTGTGTGAAAATGTCCTAATAACAATCATCAGTGGATTTATTCTAAGGATGTTATCAATATTAATATCACTGTTTGCTCCAAATTATGCATTATTTATTTATTTATTTATTTAATTCTATGTACATTCTATGCTGAACGTCTAGTCTTTCCTACAATCTGCCATCTTGAACCATCAGTCTTTTTCTTCTGGCTCAGTTCTTGTTAGAGCAAAGGAACAGTAACTAACTAAAGGAAATAAGAATAAAAGGCTTTATATAATCCTTCCATGTCCACACTTTAGGGAAGATAACATTCAGTGTTTTCTAACTAGTGGCCCACTAGGTGAGTAGATGGGTATGAGAAAGAAGGATTTGGTAGTAATATCCAAACCTCACAGGGATACTTGAACTACCTTCACAAACCCACAAGTGACCCAATTCCTGTTATGCCTGAGAACTACTAACAGGTCCCAGTGCTTACGGAAATAGCTATGACTTCTCAGGAACTCAAAGCCTACTTTTACTCCAAGAATATCCTGAAGCAGACCTTTAACATAAGGTCTCATTCTTTAACATAAGATCTATGAATCAGAAAAAAAAAATTATTCTAATTTTATTCATGTTTTTCCTCTTCTTCAACTCCCTCTCATCTCTTTTTTTTTTCTTTTTTAAAGATTTTATTTATTCATTTGACAGAGAGAGACACAGCGAGAGAGGAAACACAAGCAGGGGGAGTGGGAGAGGGAGAAGCAGGCTTCCCACGGAGCAGGGAGCCTGACATGGGGTTGGATCCCAGGACCCTGGGATCACGACCCTGAGCTGAAGGCAGATGCTCAATGACTGAGCCACCCAGGTGCCCCTCCCTTTCATCTCTTAAAATGTTTAACTCATCTATGTATTTGTCTTTGACCAAACCATTCACCTTCCTTGCCCTTTATCCTACAAATGATAGGCCTTGTTGTACAACTGGCAGGGACAAACACTGTTCTTTCTGTCTAAGAGCCATCCTTCCTCTTACAAGTGAGTGAGGCACCAGACTTCCAGTATTCAAAACACTTTCCTAAAGGCATCGTACTTACTTCTAACCTCTCGAGGCAGGAGAGTGATAATCCCCCTTCATACGTAACTTCTACCAATTAGTCCTAGTTTTTCTTTCATTATCTCTATGAAATATGCAGAACCTTTCACAAGAGGCTTTACAATATTTGAAGCCAAAAACAGTATCATCTTAAGGATCCCAGAATATCTGAAGTGCGGGAAGTTCATGTTGTTCAGCGGAGTTTTCCAGGGAATCTAATCAAACCAAGACTACAACCCTTTTCTTCCAAGATCTCTCTAACCGGTTCTCTGCTCTTACTCTAATCATGACTCAAATCCCTGGGCAGTCACAGACACTTCTACTCACTTAGGGCTCCTGGATAGAGGACATACATAGAGTAGCACTACTCAGGCACTAAGAAATGACAACAAAAAAAATGACAGGAGGGCAAAATAATTACTTTTCACATCCTGGAACACAGGTAAAACAATGTGTTCTAGTTAATGAATAATAAGTGTTAATTAATAACTCTTAATAATTAGGTAATAATCCTTAATAAGGGTCTTTCATGGCTCCTGGTTAAAAAAAATGTTATATTTGCTCTATGTATTATGATAAAAGATGTATTAGAGCATATTAATGGCTTTGTATAATCTATCACAATTTTAATGAGCTACTTAAGTAGGTTTGGTTTATAGAGAGAACCACACAAATAGTGTTCAAATAGAACTGTAACTATGGTAAATTTCTGCATGGTTTGAAAAATGATTTTATCACTCTGAAAACTTAGCATAAATTCAATACCTAGAGTCACATAATTAATCCTTCCTCATCTGGGAAACTCATTCGTAGAAGAACATGATTCCTTGTGAAGAAACGACTGCATGTGGGCTCTTCCTTTCCTCCTCCTCCCATTCTGCCCCCTACGTTCTCTCCTTCCGTTCTCTTTCTTTCAGTATTGCATTCTAACATAGTTTTTCAATGACTTTAATTGATAATCCTTTTGCTTCACTGAGCCTCAAGACCTAAAGATCTGCTAAACCACTCATCTTATCAAAAAAGCACTCCAGTGTTCAGAAGGCAAGTCAAAACTGGACAGTCCACAGGCAGTGGGGAGAAAAGGCACTGCATCTGAGGGGTGGAAACTAGTAGGGCTGATGGCAACTGCTGTACCCATCCTGCTGCCAAAAGGTATGTCAGAGGGGAGGAGAGGGGAGGGGATCTTTAAGTGCCGAATACCTTTGTTTGGTCCTCAGTTTTACTTCCTTTTCTAAACCTCTAGGACTTGAGCGTTCCCTAGCAACAGAAGCAAAGGATCAATTTAGAAAAGTGCTTTCCAGAGCATTCCTATCTATCTACTGACCAAGCCATTTTAGTTTATGTGGTCAAGCAACTGAAATTCAAGGAGATTTATCACTGACTGTCCTCGGCAGCAAAACTGGAAGAGCAAGCGCTTGATATGTATGCTACTAATGTCTAAGATGACTGATTCTACCTCCACTGCACAAGCATGGATTGGTTTCAGTAAGAATTAGTAGTCTTCGCATCTCACTGTGAACCGACAGTGTTGCTAGGGAAACTGATAATTATGTGGCAAAATGGAGGGTGTAGAATAGGAAAAGGGTTCAGAAGAAATATAAGGTTTTGATCCAAATCAGCATGTTAATAGTAGAGTTTGTTGATCTTCTGTAGTCACATAATTTAATAAATACCATTAATTATATGTTTGACAAGATACAGATTTCTGAATGGAAACAAATGAACAGAAATGAACTGAACATTGGAAAGCCACTGGTTTACAGATCACACCTGGTGCATGTCACTGCAGAAACACATATTTGTTATAAACTACAATTAATTTAATGGAATTAAAATATTCCAAAAGGTGAAAAAAACAGATTTTTTTAATGATTTTTCTTTAGAAATCAATCTTCTAAAGTTCCTGATATAACAATTATAATCCTATAAAAGATTGATTCACCTCAGTGACAAAAACATATAACTTCAAAACATATGTTGGTATGGAGAAAAAACAAGTGTGACTATTTTTATATTATGCATAGTAAACCCAATCCAGAGATGCTAAATGACCTTCCTGAAGACACGCAGCTCTTCAGTTAGTGGTAGCGCCCTTGCTAAACATTCCTCTTTAAGCCACCCAGGAGTCAAGATGTACCCATTGTATTTATTAAGGGAAAGCCCAGCAAAAGGATACAAATGTAGTAAATGGTCTCAAAGTTCTAGATCTCACTTTAATTTTAAATGAAGATTGCCAATACTTTTCATTTTTAATGGCTAAGAATGAAATTCTAAAAGTTAATGATATGATATAAACACTTCCGTATCAAAAGAAGTCTCACTGGAGACATTTTAGTATGTGAGAAAGAACATCAGAGAATTATACAGCTCATTAGTGAATAGTTTTCCTGCATGTCAGAACACTGCCTGGGAGTTGTCTGTCCTATCATGACAGCACTGATTCACTACATTCTTTTACTTTCACTTTTTCCGAGGACTATTAGGTAAATATTTAAAAGATGAAACCAAAGGTTTTATATCCTCTTGTGTATTTATCTTTATAAATTCTTACACATTTTCTAATTTATAAGTGCACTATAGATTTTAAAGCATTCATTCACATTCATATACACACAACCTCTGTATGGATGTGTGTTTGCGTAGGAAAACAAGTGACCGTTTTATGGCTGGTACATAAAACAAGACAAACATTTGCAAGAACAAATGTTTCCAGTGTTTTGAATCTTATTTGCTCTTTGACAGGCAAGACTGAGAAGTATAGCGAGGACACCAAAAGAAAATCATAAAAGTATACAGAACTTCGTAAGTCAATGAATTCCAAGTGCTAGAAGTAGGTAGTCAGCCTTCTGATACTAGGAAAAAGATTTTCGTTCTAATGACTTAAGAATTATAAGATTTACTTATTAATACATAAGTAGTAGCTCATCGTAGATGAACTATCATGTTAGGGTAGTTTATTTACTTATTCTTTTTTTTTTTTTTAAAGATTTTATTTATTTACTTGTTAGAGAGAGAGAGAGAGAGCATGAGCACAGGCAGACAGAGTGGCAGGCAGAGGCAGAGGGAGAAGCAGGCTCCCCGCCAAGCAAGGAGCCCGATGTGGGACTCAATCCCAGGACACTGGGATCATGACCCGAGCCGAAGGCAGCTGCCTAACCAACTGAGCCACCCAGGCGTCCCTATTTACTTATTCTTATTAAGGTAGTTCATTAAGTCTATCAATATTATCATGACTTAAAAAAATAATTGGCTTAAGTTGCAATTTTGTTATTTCCTTTCATCAAGGCATTGGTTTTTGATAAAACAAGAGCTAAATGATAGGTTCTTATTTCGATAAACCTTTTCTTCTTTCTCATGGCAGGAAGGCTGTCTCAACTTTGAAATCTCCGGGTAAGAAAACGAAGAATGTAAGGCTCAATTTTATAGTCACTGGAAATAATTTTTGTGGTTAGTTTAAACAAACCTTGACTTAGGCCATCTTGACAAGATGTCTGCTTGACATCCAAATTCTCCATGGTATCTCCTTTAGAGACGTCACCAAGAGATGTTCTTCTCTCGAAGATGTTGTTGTTGTTGTTAACTTGAGTCCCATTTTGCTTCAGTAGTCGGAACACCTCAGCTTCCAAATCTCTAATCTAAGGGGAAAAGAAAATCCATCCGTAAACCTCGAAGCCAGCACTCCTCTGTAAGTACTCAGCCAAACCATCCTATGACTTAGTGGTTTTGAGCACATAACTCACCCGTACTTGCAGACCTTGAACTTCCACAAGATGAGCTTTTTCCAAATCTTCTATTTTCTTTCTTTCTGCTTCCTGTCTCTTGATGAAATCAAGTTCTCTTAAGAAGAAAATAAAAGATCTGATGGCATCAAATACTCAATAAATGAGAAAACACGTGGAAGTTCTTATCTGAAGCAATAAACTGCACAGTGGGACAAACGAGTGGGCTGCTATTTAAATAAACAACACTCGGGACGCCTGGGTGGCTCAGTTGGTTAAGCGGCTGCCTTCGGCTCAGGTCATGATCCCGGCGTCCTGGGATCAAGTCCCACATCGGGTTCCTTTCTCCGCAGGGAGCCTGCTTCTCCCTCTGCCACTCTGTCTGCCTGTGCTCTCTCTCTCTCTCTCTCTGACAAATAAATAAATAAAATCTTTAAAAATAAATAAATAAATAAATAAATAAACAACACTCAATCACAGTTCGAAAAAAGGCATCTAGGAATGAAAGCAAATTAAACATGTTAATGGCTCCTAAATGAAATAAGAATGCTTTGATTCTGCTTCTGTGATTTTCGTTTGTTAACTCCTGATTCTTGAGCACCCACACAGATTTAGAGAGAAGCTACTGAACTAATGACCTACGTTGGGTAACTTAGTGCAGTTGATTCTATGTAGGATAGTTGCAATTCTGTATTTACAGAGCCATGTACTCCGTAAACCAATAGGACTGGATGGTAAGAGTTTACAGAAGATAATTACAATTTGCTTTCTACGAATGACAGTGGCGAAGGACTGGGCAGGTCAGAAACATTGAGGGGGAGCCATCACTTGCACACCAGAAGTTAATATGGGGAGGAGAAAATCTCTCCCTCTTGGGAGCCTAGAATGCAACTTGCTGATCCGGCAACACTTACTATAAATTTATCACATGAACACAATTACGGATGACATTTTTGGCAGTAAGAGTTAAAATAGTGATGTACTGGATTCAGACCACAAAGAGTAATTTCCCCTTTTCCGTAATCAACATTTTATAGCAGTCTCCTTTAAATGTGAAAAACAGGGTCTCGGAGATAGGAAATAACAGAGACATCGGGAATCTTACACATACGCTTAGCTTCTAAGGCTTGGCATGAAGACCAGAAGTGGTCGGGCATGACTGTATTGCTCTGGCTGTCCAGAGGCACCTGAAGTTCCTGATGAAAAAAATCTTTAAGTAACCAGTTCCCTGAAATTACACCAAAATCCAACAGAGGGAAGCAAAGCAGCATTCATGTGGAAAGAGCTGATGAGATTCAAAAGCCAAGTTTGCGGCTAGACTCTCACTGCAGTGAACTGAGCCCCTCGGGATTCTCCTTGTGAGCAAAAGAAAATGGCAGGGCAAGGGGTCTCGCTAGTCAAGGTTTACACTATCTGAGGTGGGAAAGTTCTGCAGTCCCTGATGCTAAGAACAGAGACAGAAACAACCTCCTCAAGACCTCAGTTACTGCTTTGCATGGTCAGTCACTCTGAGTGACTTCAACTGGGCTGCTTGCTTTCTCCTCAGAGCTGTTGCCAAAAGGACAGAGATTCAAACATTCTCATAGTTATCAGGAGTGACAAACTATCAAAGAGAAACCGGGGAGGGGGGGGGTAACTGAGAGCCAAAAAACTCTGAAATAAACAAAATATAATCTCGCATGAAAAAAATGATAGAAGGGATTTCCAAAGTGAACGTCTAAATGCTTTATAACTCTGCTTAAAGGATCACCGAGATAATCTTTTCTATTCTGTTAGATGTTATAAGATTACTGGATGTAAGCCCTCTTTAGATGCACACAATTCTTTAGTCATTAGATGCTGCTTACTTTTGTTGAAAATCCTTGATCAATTTCTTTGCCTTGTTGTATTTCTTCTCCAAGGCCTGATACTGGCTTTGAGTCTCCTTGAGGTGCTCATTCACTGTGTGGCATAAGGTCTGAGCCTCAATCCAGTAGCTCTCCAACTTCAGCATTCTCTCTTTATTCTCTTCTATATTCTGCTGGAGTTGGGTTTTTTCTAGTTCCCACCTCACTTTCTCATTTTCTGCTGCTTGCAGCTGGATAAAGCAAATGTCGAGGCAAGGATAATCTGGGTATTCTATAGCAAAATCCGTCATGTTTTTAAAGCATGTTTTAAATTAAGTTCCACTGCCACATATACTCAATCATTTAGAACCTTGAGATGAGAAGAGCAAGCCTTATTTTCAGCATTTCAGAGATTACGAAATGGAAGCCTTGAAGAGGGAAATATTTTGTCCAACCAAGGTCACACATATGATAGATAATAAAACCGGGATTTGATTTCACCTCCCATGATCTTCCCATTGCCCCATGTGGTTTGAAATTCTATGAGCAGTACATACTGTTTGAGAGTTTGACTGGAATCTAGCCAATGAACTTCAATGTACCTTCTTTCAGCTGTTTTTCCTACACACAATTAGATGTAAAAGACTAACTGAAAAGTGAAGGGGGAGAGGCACACTGGGAAGGAGAGAGGGGCTGAAGCACAGTTTGGTCTGCTAGTTAAGAAAAGGTCTCTGGAGTCATTCAGTTTAGAGTTGAAGTCCAGCTCTACCATTATTGGCTTTTAAACCTTGGGCAAGTAAGTAACGGAAGCTCTCTAAGACTCAGGTACATTATCTATGAGACAGAATGTGAGGTAACACAATGGCATGCCTGGAACAGCTCCTTGGGCATAATCTGATAAATGTTAGTTATTTTTACTTTGGTTTTTATCCCTTTTAATAATATGATTATATCCTTTATTTCAACTGACATGAACACAGTCTGTAGCTCATTATTTTGCTGGCAGTGTTCTGAATTTCCAGAGCCTGATAAACTTCAATTTGCATGAAAGTGTGAAAGATAGTGCAAGTAAAAAATATAAATTATTGCTGACTTATTTTAAATCCCTCTGATGGACCAAAAAGGGCAACTTCTTGTGTTTCTGCTTGCAGAGACTCTTGGGAATAGATAGTATACTAGTCCGACCCCATTATTTTTACAGGAATTCAAGGCTGATCCTTTAGGTGAGGGGTCAAATGTCATTTATTCACAATAATGGATCTTTAAACTAGTGCTTCATCTAGTCCACATGCTTCCTTTCAAGTTCAAAAGGATGCAGAGTCATTATAAACTAACAATTTTCAAAACCGAAGACATCCCCAGACCATACCACATTCAGCAAATAAATATATATATGTATCTTTTAATGCATATTTTAAACTAAATACATTGACAAAACAGATTACAAAGTAAAAAAAATCAAAAACATTTCAAAATTAGGAATTCTATTATCAACATGGATATAAAGAGTCACAATAAAGTAAGCTATTATAGATATTACATGCCAGTATAATAAAGAGAGAAATACAAAATACTAATTTATAGGATTTCTAAATTAAATGTTTCTGGTCTAACACATAAATTTTGTTAAAGCACTTATAATCCACAGGGGAATTATTTTCCCTGGTTATAACCAACAATTAAAAAAAAAAAAATCTATTCTTCCATTCTGTGCTAAGAAACAACAGCAATTTAAAATGAGATAGGTTTTTCCTGCATCTTTTATTAAGCAATGTTTTGTATTCAAGTTGTTTATTTACCAACCGCTATTAATTTAAAAATGATTATTCACAGAGCTTGGCTGACACCATGAATGATGTATAGACATGTTTTGACTAAAGAGCTACAGAGTTATTAGCTGAGAATACCATTTAACCAAAATAGCCCTGCTAATTCATCTCCATTTAAAACACATGGAAAAACCAAAATAATTGTTCAGTGTGAACAGGAAAACAGATCATTAGTGGTGGGGGGAGAAATTATGTCTTAGTTTTTAAAAGACCATAAAAACAATAAAGAATGTTATTTTTAAGGTAATTCAAAAATATTTTTAAATCCTTGAAATTACATATTTAATAAACCTAGACACAATTTGAGGAATTTACAAGCACCTTATAATTTACCAACTAAGTGGGCCCTTTTGAATCTTGTATTATTTCATATATAAACTAAAAATACATACTCCCTTTTATCAAGACCTGTTTTTCCCACCACAAATTTAAATGCTGCAAACTAAACTTGTCTAAAAATTTCCAGTAGCATCTGGCATTTAAAATCAATTATTCACACATTATATTAAATTTCATATTTAATTATTAGAAATTGGAATTTTTTTCTATGAAAAAGTATTAATGTGCTACATTGAAATACATTGTTTCTGACGAGTAAGTTAAAAATAAGTAAATGAATAAACCTATTTAAATAAAGAGAAAGAGATACAGGGTAATAACTTGTATAATAAGAACAGCATACTTAGTGGTCAAAACATAATTCGGATGCTAGAACCATTAGCAATATTTAATTTTTTGAGGAAATCTCAGAGGGAAGTGTCCACATATGGGCAAATATGTAAATATGCATTTTTAAAACCCGGTACTATCTTGGCTGAGGGAGTATGGTGGTGTTTACCCCCTGTGGGATGTGTCTCACTGGCAGGTCTGTCTATGTATCTAACAGTGGAAAAGCCTCTCACATTTGTACTCTTGCAAATGCACAGGAACAAATCCTTTAGTCCTTGGGCTGAATTTATTCACAGCATCCGAAGTGTAAAAAGCACAATTCAAACACCACTTAACGGTGCTTACCTTGGTCTTCAACTTTTGAATCTCTGCTTCTGTAACTGCGTGTTTGATTTGCAACTGGAAATTGAAAAGAAAGAAAAAAAATCTGAACTAAGAAAGTGTATCTATATTTTGGAAGCCCTGGCGGCTAGAAGAATACCTTATCCCATGGCAGAGAAGGCCCAGAAAAGTGCTGCAATGCAGCAGGCTGTAAATTAAAATGTCTAGTGTGTAAAATGACTCACTAGGTGCACACTAATGAATCGTGGGGTCTGTGGCCCACACTCCCTAACGGATTAGGCTGCGAATTTAATTGCTCGGGGACTAAAAAAAAGACAACACATTTTCTAGCCCTCTCTGCAGCTCTTCCTCTGGGATTTGGGTGCCAGGGAATGGTTTCAGAGCCCAGAGCCTGGTGGACGGCACGGTTCCCGCAAGCAAGTGGGCCCGCGCAGGGCGAGGATGAGATTCCCAATCTGGAAGAAAGATGGCGCCATGGTTCTGCGAGTCCCACGCACCGAAGGCCGAGCAGCTCCTATGCGGCTCCGGCCGCTGCCAGACGAAGACCAGGATGCTGCAGTTCCACAACGACATCGGTGATTTTTTTTTTTTTTTAATTGCAGGAAAGGTACAGATGCAGACTTCTGTCCCCCCCCCCAAAAATCGACTCCGATGGAGGACCTAGACCCCCCAAAAGCTTTGGCTGCAGCTTATTAGCCCGTGAGCCACCGGTTACATTTGTTTTGCTTCTCCCCTCCCCCCCCCAGTTTTCTCTGTAAGGATGAGAAGAACAAACGGAACATTCCTTTCCTTAAGGGATAAAGAAATGCACCAAGATTTACAGAAAACAATTTACGGGTTGAAAGTCTCTTCTCCAAAATCCTTGGGGCCAGATGTTTTTGAAATTCAGAATCTTTCCAATTTCAGGCAGGGAGAGGCATTTTCCATAAATTGCCTATTTCCCACAGCCTGCCCATGGAGGCACTCTGTGATCAAATACAGGAGCATTTTTTGCCACCCAACATACGTATTTCCCACTAAGTGAGGTAGATAATAGAGGCTATACATAGCATCCTGTCTGTTTTGGTCAGGTTTACCACCAAATGACTTTGCCACAAAATTATATTAAACAATCAGTTTTCAGAGCATTTCGGATTTAGAATTGTACCAGAAGGGCTGCAAATGTCTGATATTGCTATGTTCAAATAAATCCAAGTTTTCTTACCAGACCCTGGTTTTCAGCCTGCTGACAAGGGCATGGGGGAAGGATGGAGAGGAATGCTCCTTCCCCCACGCTCTCCAGTCTCCTGTTATGTTTAAGGTCCTGTGGTCTACATGGCTATGGCTCAGCTACTGCTCTTGGTCCTGGGGTGGGTTGGAGGGTGGGGGGTTGAAACTTTAAAATCTGATTCCGCCCCACTCACACCATTTCTCTTACTTTACCACTTCCTGATCGGCTCACTCCCGCAGTCTGGTCAGTGCAGCTCTTGCTCCTTTCACCCTCATGGGTTCCTAGGGGCTCCTGAGCTCCAACGGTTTCTAGAGAGGAAGGATTCTCTGTGCAGCTGGCATTCTTTTAGGAGGCCCCAGAGAGGCAGTCCTGGCGCTCCCAGGAGAGAAACCCATAGCCTTAGTGGTACCACGCTTTACCTGCCTAATTTAAGGAGCTGCTCAGAGCAACAAAGTGGCAAGTGCCTCACCAAATTCATGGCAGCTGCCTTCCACCTCACTCATGAGGTCTTACCGACAAAGCCCTAGTCCGGATGAATCTCTCAGGCAAGCCGGCCTGACGTGCTCAAATGACCAGGGTATGTTTACTCCAGCTCTGAGCCCTAAAGAGAGCACACTACTTGCAGAACCACCAATCCTGACATTTCTGGACTCCCTCGAAGATGTGGAAAACCAGGGCACATGGATGAAAACTGACCAGACTTAGTTGTTACAGTGAATTGCTGTTAGAACCACGACTAGAGCCTAGAGCTTCTGGTTCCAGATCCGGTTCCATTTCCCTTTGAAAATAAGGATTGATTCAATAGGCATTTACTGAAGAGCCGCTATGTGCATCCAGCAAATGCCAGCAAATGCATGTGTCTAGATGGAATTGTTACTGACCAGAAGAGTGACTCCTTGATCTTTCTACCATGGCCAAGTGTGAAGCTAGACTGAATTCATCTCGGGCCTACCGTACATGAACTCCATGACGTTGGACAGTCCCGTCACCTCTCTTACCTTCACTTTGCTCACCTGTACAGTGCAATTCCTCATAGGTCATGACCTTCTTTACTGGAAGCCTGAATGAGATAACCCACATAAAGCGGCTAGCACAATGGCTAGCACAGAATAAGACGTTTAAAGTTAGCCCAGGCTAAGACGAGAATGATCCAAAGAACTCAAATGTAATTACCACAACCGCACTTCTTAGTCAAAAGTGCTAAATGCTGTAAAATGTCACACCTGCAATAAAACAAACACCTCTGCTTCTATTTGAAGAGTAGCACAAAATCAAAAGGGCAGATTTTACGAAGAACGCTGCAACTGTGGGGAAGTGCCAGATTTGATTTTCTCAGGGGCTGACTTCGTTCAACAGTAGGGTAACCAAGTATGTGGCATGCAGGTTGTTGGGACTTTGGATTTTCCTTGTTCAGATCACTGTGACCGACAGAAAGCTGCTTCTCTGGGCCCTGGCTTCCCATAGGAAAACTGAGAGGGCTAGATGGGAAGAACTCCAAGGCCCTTGCAAATACTACAGGTGTGACATTTACTAAATGAAGAGCCTGGAGATGGTTGTCATGGTTGCAGAGCCTAGAAATCCTTGTCTCGGGTGAGCACGTTTAATCCTATGAATGCATATAGGGATTAATCCACTGACTACGTGCAGGCAAACCCAGGGAAAACTGAAGCAGCCGGGTTGACCTCCAGGCATCCCACCCTCCCATCCCACCAAAATGGGTGACAGAAGACAGCGGCACACATTAGTGGTGAAGGGAGAGCAATGATAAAAGCCTGGAGTGCTACTAAGTACCTCTAAATGCTGTGGATCCAGGAAAATAGACTGAAGCCTGTAAATTCAGACATTACTCAGGAAATGGACAAAAGTTTTAGTGCTATGTTTTCTTAGACTTCCCAAGGCCTAAAATGACAGGACGTGTAATTGTTTTAAGGCTGTATGCACTTTAAGAGAACTTCTACAAACCCATTTCTATTAGTAAGAAAAATATCAAAACTAATCGAACCTTCATGTTACGTAGCGGGAAATTGCTTTAGTAATGCGTGCTGCAGAGCTAATGAGTGTCTGAGCTGGGTTTTGAACACTTCAGTTCACAGTTCCTTCCACTAAATGTCTTACCTGTGTAAGACGCTTTATCTTTTTTATCATCTCCTTTATCATTGCAAATGAGCCTGTGAGGGAAGGTGGACAGGTAGGGTCCACCTCGTTGTTCAGATGGGGACATAGGCCCAGACAAGTTACATGGCTTCTTCAAGTTCCCATGGGAAGCAGATGCTGGAGTGGAAAATATCTCAGGTCTGACTCCCTTTCCTCTCTTAACCTCTTCACCCTGCACCTAATCAGCTGTGCAATACAGTTTTTTCCCTCCCTCGTTATCCAACTAGCACTGACCTAATGACACCGTGAGCTGTGCTCATCACATGACACAGAACCTACTTTCCAAACATTTACTTTAGGAGATTATAATAAAGACCACCTTCTGAGAGAAGTTCTTAGATCACCCCCAGAGAAACATGGTAGAGAACCTCCTCCAATATAGCCTGATTAATCTTCTATTCCCATAGCTGGGTCAGATGACCCTTAGGCTTTGGCCTCTTTGTCTTATCTCCCACTTTGGCAAATGGGCAGGGTGAGACCGAGATACCTCCATTTCACAGAGAAAGGAAGAGAAAATTGCTTTTCAGAGAGGTGAAGTGACTTGACAAGAGAAGCACAGTTGGTGAAAAGCTGTGTTTTCTTATTCTAGAGCAGTTCTCTCTCCATGTGTCTAGTAACCTTTCCAAAGGACAGATCAAGGGTTTGCACATCACCATCTGAGACTGGTCAGGCTGATGGCAGGGGCAGGGAGTCAATAGGATTGGTTAGTAGAAGCCAAGCCTGAAGCACCTGTTAGAATTTGGGAGCTTCAGAAAATCCAGATTTGGAGAGAATACTTGGGAAGACAGGATATAAATAAAAAGAAAAGGTTAAGGATTGCAGGTCAGTGTTTTAACTTAAAAGACCAATCTCATCTCTTCTGTCATCTTTTAACGTGAATGCCAAAGATGTCTACCTGGGGTTACAGCACAAACCGCACAAATAAACACATACCTCCTACAGAGAACAGCAGCTCTTACGTAACACTCTGCAGGTGTGCCTGCTGTGTCCATTTTGTTTATTTCTTTCAAAATAAAGATGAATATGGAACATGTACCCTATCCCTGAATCAATATAATCTAAATTTAACTGCGCTAGAAATAGAAACATCCTTACGCAGAAACAGAAATGGAGAGACTGAACTTCTACGCTTTCTTTACCTATCCTGTGCAAGAATGGGAAACATTTTTCTTTAGAAAGTGCAAAACACTGTCTTTGCAGCAAAGAGCTCTCTAGTCCCAGAGAGCTCACAATCGGGTAAGAGCAACATTCTCTGTTCTACTTTACAAGGGCGAAATAATACACGATATTTGCATAGAACTTTATAAAGTGGTTTCAGTCCTGGAATCAAACTTTTTATAATTATCAGTGTGATTATTTGATTGAACTTTGTCTTACCTATGACAGGGTAGGCTCCATAAAAGAAGGAATCACGACTGTTTTTGCCAATACCCAGGTGCTGTTAAAAATGAAGCTACATCATATTCCTTTATAATTTCTGCTCAAAGCTTTACATATAGTACCAATCTTTACATGATTGAGTGTTTTTCTCAGGGAACAGTTTATGCAAAATTAGCTGAAGTTGGGTGACTGAATAGTATAATAATCTAATCTGAATGGTACCACTAATTGCAGCATATATAGGCTTGGGTGAGCTACTCCAACAAGGCCACTCTCCAAGTAGGTATTCATAAACTAGTTATTAATGAGGTAG